CCGCCCCCCCGGCGGGTCAAACGGGTTAACGGGCGGCTCTTCCCGGGCCCGGGCCAACCCCTTTCGGAAAAACGGTCAACCCCCCCTTTCCTTTACAACATTCCGGGGCGGGCTTCCTTCGGTTTTAAGCCCCAATTCCAACACACCATCCCCAACCTTCCCCGGGGCCCCCACAGGCCGGGCCCCGAGCACCCAAGCCACCACCATTGCCCAAGTTGCCCTCCCCGGACCCCCACCCCGGGCCCCAGGCTTGTCACAGATCCGCTCGGGGCGTCCAGGTGCCGCCGCCCCAACCGATGACGGCGGCTACCGGCCGTCATAGCCCTTCCAGCGCCGGCCGGGGGCTGCGGCGGCGCGCGGCGCGCGGCGGGCAAGCTGCCTGCTGGCGGGCGGCGCTTCTAGTCGTGATTTTAGTGCCGCGTAGGTCGCCCTTCGGCCACTTCTCGGGCGTGCGGCCGCAGCGCGGCGAGAAGGCGGCGCGCTCGGCCCGCTGGCGGAGGTGAAGCCCCCCAGAGCGGAAGCTGGCGGGCCGGGGGCGTCGGGCGGGTGCGCGGCGGCATCCGTGCCACCGGGACGGGCCGTGGTGGCCCGTATGGCGGCCGTGAAGGGCCGTTTGGTGCGCCCCGGCGGCCTCCTGCACGGCGGCCGCCGGGGCCGGTTTGGACTGTGCTTGGGGGGGTGGAGTGGTCCGGTGGCCGGTGTGATGGTCGGTTATCACCCTCCTATCACCCACTTACCGCTCCCGGCCGTGGGGGCCTCTCCAGACGCCGCCATTTATGATTTCAAAGGGTCCTGCCGACGCTCATCACAGTGCGGCGGAGGGGCCGGAGCCGGCGCCGCGGAGGACGAGGATGGCCGTGACGGACCGGGACGAGCTCTGGGAGGTTCAGTGTCAGTGAGTATATTGTAGAGGCCACCCATGTGCACAATATCTTGACTGAGAGCTAATTCTGGGGAGGCGATGCCGGGGCCGTACAGCAGCTTGATGGTGCTGCGCCGGCGTGCGTCCCGCCGGCCGCCGGGGCCGGTTTGGACTGTGTTTGGGGGGGTGGAGGGGTCCGGTGGCCGGTGTGATGGTCGTTTATGGCCCTCCTATCACCCACTTACCACCCCCGGCCGTGGGGGCCTCACCGGACGCCGCCATTCATGATTTCAAAGGGTCCTGCCGTCGCTCAGTCCGAATCACAGTGGGGCGGAGCCTACCCTGGGGGGGGGGGCGCATCGCCGCGCGGAGAGGGCTGGGCACAGGGCACAGGGGATCTCTCTCGCATAGGAGATACACATTCGGAGGACAGAATGATTTTTCTTTTTCATCGTCTTCATGAATGAATGAATGAATAGAGCAGTCATCTCCAGGGAGAGATGGGCGACGCACACGAACACAGAGGGACAGTGCGCACCCCGCCCCGCTCGCAGGGCGTGCATCACACAGGTGGACTGTGTGACTCCTCGGGTTTCTGGGACTCAGAGGTGTGCTAGTCGCTATTCTCCGACAATTCCGACATGTCTGACGGGCAGTTCGGGCTCGAGCGGTCGCGGTCGCGGCCAGCGCGTGAGGCCTGGCTAGGGTTGCCGGGCGAGAGCTCGACCCACGCGCCGGAGCGCGCGTGGTGCTTGAGCAGCCGGGCGGTCGCCGCAGCCACCTCGAAGGGTAGCTCGTCGAGCCACTCGCCGAATGTGCCCTCGTCCTGCGCCGCAGCGAGGAATTGCTCACCTAAGCCGTACGCGCGGCAGGCCCGGTAGAGCGCCTCGTTCTGGATCTCCTCCGGCGCCTCGGAGTCGTAGCCGCAAACGGAGGAGCCGGCAGAAGAGGCCCGCTTCGCAGGCGGCGCGTCAGGCGACGAGGAGCGCGAACGCCGCGGCGGCACACCGTCGCCGCGCGCGGAGAGCGCGTTCCTGTCGACGCGGGGCGCAGCGTTGCGCCGGCCGCGCTTGGCCGGCCGGATTGTGAGGCTGCCGGCAGGCGGCTGTGCAGCCGCGGCTGCGTACGACTGAGCCGCAGGCGCGGCGGCGGGCGCGGCGGCGGGCGCGGCGGCGGCGCACGTGCCCGCTCGCTCGCGCTCCGCGCGCTCCAGCTCCCGTGTGTACTCGGACTTCAAGTTGATCTGCCCGTCGAGGCTGCCGTCGATGTGCATGGTGAACCGGACGGTGGCCGCGTCGATGTGCTGGGCGTGTGCCATCAGCGAGCTGATGAAGGACGCCTCGCGCATCGTCAGCGGCTCGCCGCCCTTCATGCACCGCTCAGCATCGCGGAGGCGGCTAGCACTGTCGCGCTTGAATGCCGGCATCATCTTTG